AAAAGGGACTTGCTTCATCAGGAGATAGTTGTGCACTTAGTAATCAGTTTAGCTGGTAAAATAACTTAGCTTTTTATAAACATCCTATATTTTGTATATGAGGGGAGAGCACTGGTTGTCATACACCTCAGTGGTAACAAGGCTTTCGGCACTGTGTCCCACAATATTCTTGCATCCAGGTTAGGATGGATGGATGAGTTGACAGGTAGATGGGTCAAAGTCCAGCTGCAGGATTGGGCTGGATGCATAGGAGCTTTAGGAAATTCAGCAAGGACAAATGTGGAGTCTCGTACCTGTGAAGGGGTAACCTGGCCTGTCTGAATGGCTGGGATCAGCTCTGCTGGAAGGAACCCAGGCATCTTGTTAGCAGGAAGAGCGCAAGCCATCAGTGCTCACTGGCAGCAAAGGGCCAAAATCATCTTGGGCTGTATTGACAGGAGCACAGCTGGTCAAGTGAGGAAAGTGATTGTCCCCCTCTACTTAGCACTTGTTAGAACACATCTGGAGCACTATGCCCTATTTTGGGCCCCCCTAATACAAGAAATGTACTGGCCAACTGGAGCAAGTTGAGCTGGGGACTACAGGGCTGACTGGGCTGGAGACCAGGCCCTGTCAGCAGTGGCTGAAGGACCCTACGCTGAGAAAGAGGTTAGACTAGAGAGATGCTGTCATCCCTTCCAACCTGAGTGATCCTGTGTTTCTGGTAAAAGTCATTACTGAGATGTTTAGGTTTTATACCTGTGTGTCAATTTAAAATCAAATTATTTTATCTAACAAATAAGTCTTTCTCCTTTACCCTAGTTTTTATTATCATCTTAGTAAAGGTGAAGAAGAGTCTTTGCCAAAAATTACATTTTTTCATACAGAATATTAAAACATACAAGACTTTTATTCATGGTATGGAACTACATGCAAGAGCTCGGTTTTGGTAAGATAACAGCATTAAGAAGGAAGGCAAAAATGTTTTCTTCATACCTAAAGCATCAGAAAATATTAAAATAATGCTGGCACAATTCCATTATTGACTATACTTATCTCCAGTCTTAACATAAATACTGAAACATGTCTTTGGTTATTTTCACTTTTATATGTTACAGTGAAACATGCAGGAGATCACTGTTCAGATTTTAAAATCACATGAAATCTCTTTGAAGTGTGTTTGCCCCATAAAAAGAAAGGATTGTAGAAAAGACATCCACATTGGATTGTAGAAAAGAGATCCATATTGGATTGGATGAAAGAGAAGGTTTACAGGTGTGTGGCCATGACTTACTACATATGTCTGAGGCAGGTAAAAAGTTTTTGGAGGCAGAGATGCTTGGATTTGGAATGAGTTGCTGAGGTGAAAATAGACAGGATGATATCAGAAGAAAGGAGGAGGAGCAGAAAGGCGTAGATAGAAGAACCAGATCCTGCTTAAGCATACCTTCTTTTCATGGAAGATACGAGTTTTAGCAGTCCCCTGCAATCAAGAGGGTGTCCTTTAATCTTATGGTGTATTGTGCTGTGTTGAGTTAACTGTTGCAATTCTGATAATTATTAACTGTAATATTATAAAAATCAAATACACGAACCTGTCTAAATTAAGTACTGAACTGGCCTTCCTTTCATTTCAGATAGTTCAACGTACATTCTTGCACGGGGTTTTTTTGTTTAGTGGTGCTGTGTTTTTTGCTTAGCACTGGAGGTTTATTTTTAACTTCTGAGTATTAAGCTGAAAGTCATGATATATTGCCAGTGTCTTACTAAGTAACTATCAGCAATGTAATTAAAAGTAATTTGAAGTGAGATCTGTTTGAACTCAAGCTACTCATCTTCAAGTCATGAGTGTTACAGAAATGAAGTATGTTTACATGTTGGAACATTTTGATAAATTCAGTAGTCTGTTTGACAGCATGGTCCCACAAAGGAGTTGTTTCGTCACAGCTATCAAGCGAACAAGTGACTGGAGAAGTGTATTGGTGAACTGTGTGGCTGCAGCCTTCCACCTACCGGCTTAATAGTGATGCTTAAATAGCGGACTCCCGTTTTCAAATGTGGCAAGACGCACCTATTCCTTTGTCAATTAAACTCATTTCTCTGTCCAGACTGAAAATCAGGAGTTGGTCAAGGGTGAAGTTCTAGATATTAGTTATGAGAAACAAGGGAATCTCTTTTGGATCTGTGGTAAGTTGGTTCCCCCACATTGTAATCTCAGTTACACAGTAAATGAGTTCATTCCAGTTAAATAGATAGGAAGGGTATCTTAAAGCTTAAAACTAAAGCTATAAAAAAGGTCTGGAAACTGAAAACACATACAAAAATGTTCATTGGTTAAACCATTTACATCAGTCAATCTCTAAAAATCAGCCTTAATCAAGTTTGGTATTACAGTAGCTACTTGAGTGTCTAAGAAGATGACACGTATTTCAGGACCCAAACCACAAGGACTACTTACACCACACAATCAATTTTATCAATTCAAGCAGAGGCTGGGAGCCAGAGATTTGCAGAGATCAAATGATCTGCAGGAAGCTTCAGTGTCGATCACTGAATGCCTCTAAGTGTTTCATTCATTGCATTACTTGTGATTTTTTCATCTGAAGTAGAATTGATCCCACATTGCAAAATTTTGGTAGTAAGTATCAGTGAGTACCATATTTTGGGTACAGAGTTTGGATATCTTTTTTATTTTTAAGAGAAAACAAACAGTTAAAATTCCCTGTTGTATTACACCTCAATATGATGAGAAGAAAAGATGTGCTTTTGTATTCTAAATTTGTGAGAGGCTGTTTACTACATCTTGTTCCTTCATTACATACTTATTCCTGTACAGAAACTCTTAAGTAAGAAGACGCAGTGTCCTTTTCAAATATTGAGATCCACCTGTTTACTATTAATTTCATTCTCTGCCATGAACATCCTATTCCTGGAAGGGTAAATTCAGCTAGGATGATAGCCATCGTGTGACGTAGTACCAGATGCATCAGGTTTGATTTCTCTTTGACTTGAGACACTCATGATGACTGCATGTGATCAGAGTGGGTACCGACTTTCGAAGAGATAAATACCAGTTTCCACAAAAATGAAATCCTAATTAGCTTTCACTTTTAATCTTTTTTTGTTGTATCTGTGATATGAAGTGCCAAAAGTGGTCAGATTTGTTTCTTCAAAAACTTTTCTATAGGCAAACATTTAAAAAAAATCTTACAGAATTGGAGCCTCTCCTTTGGCTTTCTGGTTTTAAAATGTTGCAGTTTCCAGAGTAGGAAGCAAACTACTTAGCATCTTATCTCAGAAACCTCTGTCTGAAAACGCAGGTTTATGAAAACAATGCAAAAATTATATGCAATATGTTTGTCATTTGTACATGTAACTGTTCCCCATTGCATTTGCTTCTTACATACGCTTTTTACCGTGCTGTTTTTTCCAGGCAAACAAAATTGCTAGTCATTCCCTCCATTGGCTTTGGAGAATCAATCCCTCAGCCTAGAACTGCTTTCTGCTTGCAGAGTCCTTCAGCTTTCAAAAAAGAAACTGAGTACAATGCAAAAAAAAATTATCTTTCACGTGCATATGTATTTTTGATTCAAAGACATCAGCCTTTAGGCCTTATGGTTTTGGCAAAGAGTGAAACTGAAAAGGCCCATTTCAATGAGATGGTTATTTTTAATGTTGCACAGCATCTGATGCTTTTAAGACCCTTTAAGCTTTGATTATTTTTGCTATCCTGTCCCGTAGGGGTGGGTGGAATGTTCCTTCTGCCACACTGCTAAATGCCATTAAAGCTATCTGGTTGTATACTCAGAGTTCCAATTTTATTGTAACCCTGTTCAGCACAAGGCTAACTCTGGTCTGATGAGGCTTATCTCCCTTGGCCTCCTATCTAGGTTATGGTAGAAACAATTCACAGACTACAACTAACAAAGAACAGAGTGATAAAATGCAATGATTCAGGTTTATGTGGGAGCATTATGTAATGACTTGCTTACCACCCTTACTTGCAGCCATTTGTTCGCACAGTTTGACCGGTACAACTGTGTGCATGGCTGCTGTTTGCAGAATAACAAGGTTCAAGTTTTTAAATACCCCTTAAAACTTGTATAAAGTGCTAACAAACTTTACATTGAATCAGGCTTGGGAGAAGTGTTTTACCAGTAATAAGCTGGCACTATTTTAATGAAGTTTTACTTTTAAAGACTGGGGATCTAAACCAATATTGGTGGCAGATTGTGAAGGTACCAACGTGCGCTATGTGCTGGAATCCAGTTCAGTGCCCATGTTCCTTGTGCACCTACCTACCCACCATTTGCTTCTCTGAAAGCTCTGCAGCTTCTAAACCCACAACCAGGCATGTTGTTACTGGCTCAGGAAAACTGTTCCATAGCTTCAGTCGGATCTGTGTAATGTTGAGTACGAAACAAAAGCTTTTTAAAATTATTAGTGTATGATTTTGCTTTTCTGGAGACAGCCATTAGCAAACAGGGAGCTTCACATACTTATTCAGAAGCGAAGTAATTAAAGCTGCATTTCTGAAAGTTACATTCTTAAGGTGTTGTGTTTATTATTTCAATTTTCTTTCTGTTTAGACAAGGAACCTGTGAAGTAATGACTAGGCCAATCAAATATTCAGTGTAAGGCTGACTCGATGAGGTGAATTGTATACTTCAAGAGGTGAAAGTTTATATCGAGAGACTGTTCCCTGACCTGGCTGAGGAGGTTAACTGCAGTTCTCTAGCATTTGCAGGCATCATGACTCTTGTTAGGGTTAAAACCTGAACTAAGAACCTTAGCTGGCCAGGTTTTCTTCAGCACTGTGATAAATATGATCTCACTTTTCTTCTACGTGGAATAAAGGTGTGCCAAAATAGTGTCATCGTTTATGATCTCTGTTTAGAGAGAAGCAACCTTTTTCTTTTCTATACTGTAAAATGAACGCATAATAGGTAAAATAAGTTCACAGCATTTCTTCACATGAAGTTGTATGAAATTTTCTTAATGTACTTTTTCTTTCTTTGCAGCTATTGGCTGACAAACAAGGTCCACATTAAACGACCCAGCACTGGTCTCCTCATGTATACGCTTGCCACCAGATTTTGTGATGAAATTCACCTGTATGGATTTTGGCCATTCCCAAAGGATTTACATGGAAAACCTGTCAAGTATCATTATTATGATGATCTGAAGTATCGGTACTTTTCTAATGCCAGTCCTCATAGGATGCCATTAGAGTTTAAAACATTGTATGTATTACATAACAGAGGAGCACTGAAATTAACAACAGGGAAATGCGTACAGCAATAAAGCACATGTAAAGTACAATAAGAAGTACAGAATACACACTTCATCATAAAGATGTTGTGGAATGGCAATGGGATCCCGGTGAGGATATGTTTAGTACCCACAAAGCCATCGGAAAAGGGAATATTATCAGAAGTAACCAGCTATTATACCTGTAAAGTGCTATATAACTAAGCTATCTTGACTGCAAGGGTTCAAGTAAGTGCCACTTTCACTAAGAACAAAGCTTGAATGTATACTCAGTAGTGTTTACAGGATCCAGTGACACATTCATCATGAATTAAAGAATAAAAATATAACCTGCTTACTGCTGACTTCCCACTGTGGTCAGACAGCCCACAGAAGAAATCCCCAGTGGATGGAATATTTTCTTGAGCAAATAAACCAGGCTTTGGCAGAAATCATCACAATGGAATCGAGTAGAGAAAGTGAAGTCCATAAGATCAAACAAATCAGTAAATGCCTTCAGTCAGAGGACTGTTTCTGATCTTGTATTATAACCTCAGCTTTTGTTGCTGTTTTTCTTATTGCTGTTGGTTGGGTTTTGTTGCTTTTGAGTATTGGAGCCCTTAAAGAATTTTGAGGATGTTATGAATAATTAAAAGTATATATCTTATGGAATTGTCTTAGGAGAAAAATTCATAAGGGTGGGTGGGTGGAGGGAAACATCAAATATTTTATCAATTGTTATTGTGTTGTATCCCGCTGTCACACAACCCTTAAGGTCCCAATTGTTTTTCTAGCTACCGCTGTCAATACCCACTACATGGAACCACTCAGAGGTCATTTTTATCCATTTTTAAAATGAAGTTTTTCTGTTGTGTTCAGATTTGAAAACATACAAGAAGGTGCCCTTATTTTTGGTACCAAAGATTACTCTTATACACATTTTCTCTTTTCCTTGAAGAAATGATATAGATTTAGTATGATGTTTGTCTGCTGCTGAATGGAACATATTCTTAATGTTATTTAAATTTTTGAATTAAGCATCTCAAAGCAAAGCCCATTTACTGACTTTGCATACAGAATTTCATTCTTCAGAAAAATCTGCAGGAGTAAAGGTATTATTTCATACATTCAAATATATATATACACACACACAATTTTTATTCCTGATTTAAAATTAGATATAAAGTCTAAAAGAACTCAGGTGACATTGGAACAGGCCTAAAGAAAAAAAAAAACACCCCAGCCAATTAAAAGGAAAATAAAAGACCTGTAGATCAAACAGTTCTTTTAAAACTTAAGTTTCTAATGGTGTTGGATGATACCTCTCTCTCATATACCTCTTTTGTATCAGCTTGACGTTCTGATGTGTTATTAACTGAAATAACACAGAGCAGCATTATCTCACAGTGATTTTTCTGAGCAGTCTTGTTTATCGACAAAGCCAAGAATTCTTTCACTCTCATCTTTCAAAAAAGAGAACAAGAAGTTACAGGAGGGTAGGAGAGGGTGGAGTGACAGTATGGAATATACTAAGATACAAAACCTGTATCCATGTGGTATGTTTTAGCACTAATGGAGCAGGTAAATGAAGAACACCATGGTTCCACCATTTTTATGTCAGGCTAGGCTAAAGAGGAGGTATGCAGATACAATGTATGGTTATTTTCTTGTTATGTTTTCAGTTCTACATTAGGTCCTCATCTCCAAATATGATATTCAGTGTATCTATTGAATTTTGAACTAGCTTGAGCAATTTCATATGTAGCAGAACACTCACAAACATTTACTAGCCAGAAGTGCCATTTATTACCCATTTTTCCTCTTAAGTTCACCTGTATTTCATCACGCATGACTAGAGGTCTGTGATTATGCAAATTTAGCAGCTAAATTTCTGCCTCGCAGACAGTTTTGCCAAAAGTTCATGGGAAATAGAAAGGCATTCTGCTATATATAAGACACAGTAGCATCCTTCCTTATTTACCGGTCTCTCGTACCCAGAACAGTTTACTTCAGCCCTATGCTAAGGTGTGGGTTGTGGTCCTCACCACTGAAACCAAGGCATCGTGAGAAACTAAACAGCAGTACAGACTGGGAAGTGTTTAATTTGTTGTTGATAAGCCAGGGGTGTTTTATGTATACTGTGTAAACTTGCAGTTTAAGACGAGGTCATTTCCTTGATGAAAGGTGGGCATATTCCTGTTCTTTCTGTTAGGTTTTTATTGCTGTTGATCTTATATATCTCATATATATCTTATGTATTTCATACACATTGACAGAGTTGCTGTTGAGATAAAGAAATCACAGGTACCAGTCTTGCAGAGGCTCAAAGAAGCATCTGTTTACCTTTATCTTTTCTTCTGGAAACATCCTCTTCTTCTCTCTAGTGTCAGGTCATCAACAAAAAGGGAATTCAAATAGACTAAAATATTAATGGACAGGTGATTTTTTTCACCTCAGGGAACTGGTTATTTCTCTAGAAGCAAAGTAGACAGAGACACTCTAATTCTTATAGTAGTAAATAAAAAGTTATTTGTGTAACTGAGTAAGGGAAAACAATTGAGACATAAATAGGAAGATAGATAAGAAAGTGTCTTTAGAAGTCAGCAGATGAAGGAAAATTTGGCCTGAGCCTGTTTTGCAAGCTTCACATTTGATTCTCTATGAGTGAAGTTAACTTTAGTATACAAGCCATGGAGTCCAAATTTTTACCTCATCACTAAATCTGACAGAACAGGGTGATACAGGGCAAGGTTTCTCTGACTTGTTTTGGCACAAGACGTGACAGGAGCACCTACTTCTAAGACAATCTTCTCAAAACTGGGCCTTAACTTCATCTCTTGCAGGCTTTCCACTTCTCATGGTCTCATGGTTTTCTACCATCATCCACACTCACAACACACTCCTTTCAAACTGGCACCCAGGTGTGTTTCCCTCCCAAAAGCATAGGACCCCTCACTAACTTGTGTCCTGTCTCACCTGCCTCAGCTTTATCCTGAGCTGAAGTGTAATGTAGTGAGTGGTAGGTTTCAAATCATCCTCTGAGCAAGTAGCAGTGGTAGTCTTCGACCATGTAGGCTTTCACATGCACTAGGAGTCATTTTACTCTATTGCTCTCGTATAAAATCTGTGTCCATGTGGAGCCCAAAGCTTATGGGGCTCCCTGGTTTGTGGTTTGTTGTGCTGTAAATTGTCTGTTTTGAGGTAGTTTGTGACCACCAGGTACTGGTTTCTCTAGGGTGACCTGAGGTGGGACATGCCCAGAGCTTTTCCTCTTAGGTTACATGACCTTGGTGGCTATCCCTTTCACTGCTGGGAAGCTGCAGCAATGGTCTCATTGCAGACACCCTTTCTCACCTTTCTCCTTATACCTCCTTGTTCTATATTGCCCTGGGGCTCTTTGTGCATTTCTGCTGAAGCACCCCAGGCCACGATGAACAAAACAGGTGACTTCTACTGTGTGACTCTTTATCCCTACAAGTGACCTGAGGCATAGACCCAAAGGCTTAGCTGCTGTGTAGGGACTTTACCATGGAATAAATTTCACCTTGTGGTCCTTCACTGGGCAGCAGTCGACAGCTCAAGCCTCCATAGCTGCCTTGGATGATTTCTGTTGTTTATATACTTTCACATCTCCTGTGCTGCCTACAGCACAGACCAGAATCATAGAATCGTTTAGGTTGGAAAAGACCTTTAAGATCATCAAGTCCAACCATTAACGTAACACTGCCATCCCACCACTAAACCATGTCCCTAAGCACTGCATCTACCCATCTTTTAAATGCCTCCAGGGATGGGGACTTGACCACTTCCTTGGGCAGCCCATTCCAATGCTTGCTAACAACACTTTGTGAAGAAATTTTTCCTAATATCCAATCTAAACCTTCCCTGGCACAACTTGAGGCCTTTTCCCCTCGTCCCATCACCTGTTACCTGGGAGAAGAGACCAACACTCATCTCACTACAACCTCCTGTCAGGTAGTTGTAGAGGGTGATAAGGTGTCTCCTCAGTCTCCTTTTCTCCAGGCTAAACAAACCCAGTTCCCTCAGCTCCTCAATAAGACTTGTGCTCCAGACCCTTCACCAGCCTTGTTACTCTCCACTGTGTATGTTCCAGCACCTCAACCTCCTTCTTGTAGTGAGGGACCCAAAACTGAACACAGTATTTGGGGTGTGGCCTCACCAGTGCCGAATACAGGGGCACCATCACTTCCCTGCTTCTGCTGGCCACACTATTCCTGATACAAGATAAACAGGCTGTATCACTTTTATCATCCAACACTATCAACAACTAATACAAAGTAGATGATAGAATAAAAAGAAGAAGGATTCATAATATTGTAACGATATCTGCCCTGGTGAGGAACTGAGGAATGCTCATCAGTTGAGTGTTCCTCAAATTTGTTCTCGTATCAGTCATATTAATTGCCAGCTATGGTTCCTAAATATATGTTAAAAATAAGAACTGGGAGCTACGTGAAGACAGCACAATGTATATTTTTCCAAATCTTATGACAGCTTTACATTGAACAACTTGATTTCATTCAGATACATTTATTGTATATTGTTTAACATATATGTGAAAGTTTCTGTGGCAGACTGTCTTTCATATTTCATAAAAATAATAGATAAATATATTTGATTGTTAAGTTTTCAGCTTTGGGACAGTTCTCTCTCCCACAGCTCTGAGCCAGTCTCCAGATACAAAGATCTACTGAACCTTTCAAACCTTGGCTGGTTTACACAATCTGATGTGTAATAAAGACTTTCGTTAAACGATATAATCAACATGTGCTTGAGGTCAGCACTTTTTCTCTAACTGACTGCAATTTGAAGAAAAATGTATGGGTTCGGTACTTTTTTTTAGTGTTTGATCTAGCAAAGTGCTGAGCACTCTTACGGTGACTTTCCTGGGAGAGACATGTCCAGGATTTAGACGGGGATCTAGATTAGCATATTTCAGGATATAGCTCTGAAATTGCACATTATTTATTTTTAAGAGCACTGTTACTTTGTGTAGGGA